GCTATTTTTTATATATATATAGTGGCCAATTAATTTCTTCCATTTATAGTAGGGACGGGGTCTCGCTCTGTCGCGGTGGTTTCGAACTCCTGGACTCACAATCCGCCCGCCTCGGCCTCCCAGAGAGCACACCTCGCCCGGCCACACCGTGCGGTTTTCTCACCTCCCAACTTCCTCCTCACCTCGCGATGCCGCCGTCACCCTCCATCCAACTGGTTTAGCGGGAACTATGACGTTATCCTTCCCTTCTCTTCTCCCTGCCATCCCCCAGAGTCTGCAAATTCTGCCTTCACGATGTTTCACACCTAATCACTGCTGCCACCGTTGTCCCCGCCACTGTTGTCTTGTGCCTGGGCCCCTGTGCCAGCCTCCTCACTGTGCTCCCTGCTCTTTCCCTTGCCCTCTCCAAGGCCTTCTCCACACGGCAGCAGCCAAAGTGGCATTTTCAAAGCAGAACTTGCACCGTGTCACCCTCAGCGTTAGGGTTCCAGTGGGTTTGCTTGGGGCGACTGGGGCGGTGGCTCTTCCCCCTCCGTTCAGGTCTCTGCTCAGGTGTGGCCTAATCCGAGGCTCTCCTGTGTGCTCTCTGGGGCAGCCACTCGAGGCCCCGGCCCTGCTTTATAGTTCCCTAAAGCTCTATTTTTTTTTTGAGACAGAGTCTCGCTTTGTTGCCCAGGCTAGAGTGAGTGCCGTGGTGTCAGCCTAGCTCACAGCAACCTCAGACTCCTGGGCTCAAGCGATCCTCCTGCCTCAACCTCCCGAGTAGCTGGGACTACAGGCGTGCGCCACCATGCCCGGCTAATTATTTCTATATATATTAGTTGGCCAATTAATTTCTTTCTATTTATATAGTAGAGACGGGGTCTCGCTCTTGCTCAGGCTGGTTTCGCACTCTTGAACTCTTGGCCTCGAGCAGTCCGCCCGCCTCGGCCTCCTAGAGTGCTAGGATGACAGGTGTGAGCCACCGCGCCCGGCCCCCAAAGCCCTTTTCACTGTCTGACATTCTAGTAGCATTCTTTCATTGCCCTTTGTCCCCATTAGTGTGTCAGTCCCACGAGAGCAGGGGCTCGTGTGTCTTGTCCACTGACATCTCCCAGTGCCTGCACATAGCGGATGTGAATGAACAAACGAAGGAAGGATTGAAAGAGTGAAACGGCAAATGAGCAGAGAAAGGAGCGGCGGCCTGGTGGCCCTCCAGCAGAGAGGAGGAGCCCAGGCCCCCCTTCCTTGGGGCAGCGCAAGACTCCGAGCGGGACCCAGCCAGGAGCCTCCCGGCACAGGCGTCCCTGGGCAGGAACGGGACCTGGATTAGGACACGGTGCCCCCTGGTGGCCAGGACTCACGCAGCCTCCGTGGTCTGGTTGGAACCACGCGGAAACCACTGGGAAACGGAACAGCTTAGATCTGTGATGAAGGAAGGACGTCAGGCCAGGTACCCAGAGTCCTGGGTTGCAGTTCTGGCCACGACCCTGACTCTGCACCCGCAGCCCAGCTGCAGCTGCTGCCCAGGCAGATAAACGGGCGGCTTCCTCTGCTCAGAGTTATTTGCATGTTTCCTTCCTTGCCAATGTGAGGTTCAGGCCTCCCGCCCACCCCAGACTGTGGCCGGTGGCCCAAGCACCCTTTCTGGGGGAGGAGGAGGAACCAATATAATGGCAGTATCGGGTGGTCTGTCCTAGCTACTAGGCCTTTTATTTTATTTTTTGAGACACGGTCTCACTCTTGCCCGGGCTAGAGTGCCGTGGCATCAGCCTAGCTCACAGCAACCTCACACTCCTGGGCTCAAGCGATCCTCCTGCCTCAGCCTCCCAAGTAGCTGGGACTACAGGCATGCGCCACCATGCCCAGCTAATTTTTTCTATGTATTTTTAGTTGGCCAATTAATTTACTATATAGAGACGGGATCTCGCTCTAGCAGGTGTTCAAACTCCTGATAAACAAAAAAAACACAGAATGCTAATAAACAGGCGCAAACAGCTGAGAGCCCATCTCAAATGGAAATATAGAAACAACAATAGGTAAAACAGACTTAGAAAAC